GTGGGTGGCCTTTGGGGGACAGATGACAGAGGAGACACCAGCCCACAGCCAGGTTGCCGCAGCCTGTTCATGTCTGGGTTTCCCTGTCTGGTACAGAGGGGCCGGGGACCTGCACCTTACGGAAATGGGCAACGGCGAGGTCTCTACCCTGCTAACAGGGGGGTGGTTGTGGCGTCAAGAGAGAGATGCCCACCATGAGATGTGTCCTGCGGTGAGGAAGGAGGGTTAGCCGGGCTCCTGGGATGATCAGAGGTGGTGGTTAGGGGATCTTCTGCTGACAGACACCTCTTGGTCCATGGGGCCATGTGGCTGTCCTCTCAAACACAGCACTGCTCATTGCTGGTTTTTCCCAGAGACACTGCCATGAACTGCAGAGCAGATGGCGAGCTCAAAGTGGGAGCAGATGGTGGCTGCTGCTGCCTGCTCCAGCCTCTGGGGTTCCATGGGGGCATCAATTGTGGAGGGCAAAGGGAAGAAAGACAGGTTTGGGGTCAGACGGGTGTTCAGTGCCCGGCAGAGGGGCAAGGACGGCTCTCCAGGCTGTGCCTAGCCAGAATAAGGAGTGGAGCACCTGCTCCTCCAGAAAAGAGCAGAAGCCCAGGAGTGAACTCTTCTTCTTCCAGAGAGGACGCACCAGCAAGACCTGAGAGTGATGATGTCGCAGCTGGACCCTGGGAGCTAGGAAGGGCAAACCACCACACCTGTGGAGCTGGGAGCCTGAGACCACCACACCAAGTACTTCCACTGTATCCTCTGTGGTCTGTGGGAGGTGGAAGAGAAGGTAAGTTTGGAGGACTTCTGAGTTTGGTTTGACCCAGATGGCCAGACAGCCAGGTGAGTCGGGCTCTGTCTGTACTAGGAAACGAGATGTGCCGCAGCCTGATCTCCAGCGTCAAGGCCGATGGGGACAGGGATTCTGTGGTGGTGAAATCCATCCCAGCAAGGTGGCCTTGTCCTTATTGTTTATTGGAAACATGCCCTAGACCTTGTCACCCCCAGAATCATGGTGGGATTGCTGGGGCAATGCCAGTTAGCATGTGTCAGGGACAGTGCCAACAGCTTAAAGGTGCAGATGTAACAGCAGCCTCCCTGGCTTTGTGAACCAAAGAAGGACGGTGGCAGTTGATTATTTTTTCAGTTTTCCTACAAGTTGAAGAAAGATCAGGAAATGTGAAGGAAGACAGAGACAGAAGCTGTTCACCATGGCTACTTAAAGAAAGGGTTGTGGTTTATCAGTGCTTACTCAGAGATGCTCTGGGGATATGGGAACCTGCTCTCGAGAAGCAGGGTGAGGTGGGAAAGTGAAACCAGGCAGAACAGACCCCTAAAGTGCAGGTGCTTAATGCTGCCAGTGTGGGCAGGTTGGGAAGTTGGGTCTTCCTTGGTCAGGCTTCGGCTTGACTGGAAGACTAGAAGGAATTGAAACCCCAGACTCTGCTTCCCTTGAAAGGATTGGGAGCATTTTAGGTGTGGCAAGGAACCTGTCCTTGGATAGATGACCATAGAGAAACCTCAAGGAGGAGAAACGACCTCCAAGAAGACACCTCAAAGCCCTCCTGGGAACCAAGATGTTCCTCCCTAGCAGTGACTGCCCAAAGTGGGCTCTTGGTGAAAGTGGATTGTATCTACTTCAGCATCTCATCCACCATCCCTGGCAAACCCTACTGCACTCCCTGTCCCGGTCCTTTCTCCAGCAGCGCCTGCTGGAGCACCTTCATCCTCATGGCCCATCCGAGGTCCACAGCTATCAACAGCGCCAAAACCAGGCTGAAATCATGTCTGCCCTACAGCCCCTATGCGGAGCCCTGCCGTGACCTCCTCCTTCCTGATCTATCTCACATCGATCCCCCAAAATACTCCTGACACTCAGAGAGCCTGGGCATCAGGAGGTGGATAAGACACTCAGCATGGCTGGCTTCAGAGCCAGCTCTGGAGAGGGAGAGAGAGAACTGTGAAAGAGCTGAGTCCTTCCTTTAAAAATGAAAAAAACCTTCAGCACTACACAACTACAGGAAGAAAAATGGATCTGTAAAAATACCAAAACTTTACCTTAAAAGCTAATCCTCTCCCTGCATGGATTTCCCTGCTTTGGGGCCATCTCTTGCAAGCCAACGCAGCTCCACGGTCAAACAGCACAGGTCCACCAAGGGAGTGGGGACACACACCCGGACCCGTGGAGCACGTGTGATTTGCCCCCCAAAAGGCATCTCTTACACACATCACCAGCAGCTATCGCACCACCGGCACAGCGGGATACACTGAAACACCTCTCAGGGCCTGTTCATGCCCCAGCAGCTTGGTTTTCTTCCCCTCTATCCAGTGGGAAAATATTTTTGCAGTCTGCAAGGATGCGGCTGCGTTTCATGTGGCAGCCGTCTCCCCCTCGACAGAGAGCAAAGCATTAAAAACCACAGAAAAGGCAAAATACACGCTCAGAATTTACATGGAGAAAACATTTCCCCTTTTTTTTTCTTTTTCTTTTTTTTTTTTACGTCCAAAACAAGCGGTTTTTTTGTTCATTTCTTTGTTTTTCAACACACGCACCGTCTAGAAAGTTAAACGCCATGCAGATGAAGAGAGTGCAGCTAGAAAGTCCCCCGGGGCAACAGCGCTGCAGGAATCTCACATCAACGAGCAAAGAGGTTCCAGTCAGAAAAAAAAGAGAACAAGAAACAGAAGAACTGCCGGAAGAATACCCACTCTCAGACCTCTACCTGACGGCAAAGAGGTGAGACCAAAATTCACCTTCCCGGCCACGTCTTCTGTCCTGAAAGCCACATCCTGGCAGCTCCCCAAGAGCCACCACCAGGGTTTGCCCTGCGGGAAGACCCACGGGGTGCAAGAAGGCTCCCCAGGGAGGGAGGAGCCCCCAGAGGGGGTTGTCCTGGGAAAGTGGGTGCCTTCACCCTCCCGGTGCTATGGGACAGGATGGGACAAGCCGCCGGGGCATGGGGTGGGGGCTGGTGGCCGCGGGACCCCTGCTGAGAGCATGGTGGCGGCGCAACCCCTCTCCAAATGTAAACGCAACGAGAAACAGGAACCCCCAGAAATCCCTCCCACCCCGCCCTTAACAGTTGAATGTTTCTAGTTATTACATAAAGATCCATTTCAGCAAATACTCAAAATCAAGTTACGAAATACACGGTAGGTTGTTTTCTTTTCCCTATAAAAAGGCATGCGCTCAAAGTAGAAGACAGCTAAAGGCTTGTTTGTTTTTCTTCGAAGCACGACCAGATTCCGCAGAGTTTTGTGACTAAAGCTTGCATTCCTCGTCGTCGCTGGAAGGAGTCACGCGGGTGGCGGAGGTTTGCGCCCCGAATCGGCGGCCAGCTCCGCTGGCCCGGTCCCAGCCCAAGAGCCGGGTGCTGCATGCGAGGGGCAGGGCTGTGGTGAAGGACTCAGGCCGGGGGGTGGGGTGGGAGGAGGAC